CTGCGGGTCCGGGCTGGGGATTCGAACCCGCCACCTTAGGTGTACGTGGCTGGCGCCTTAGCCGGTTGAGCTATAGGCGCCGAGCCTCAAATGTGTTTTTAAAAGAAATTATTTTATTAGAAATAAATAAGGCCGGGTGCCTGTAACCCTAGCACTCTAGGAGGCCTAGACAGGTGGATTGCCTGAGCTTATAAGTTCAAGACCAATCTGAGTCAGAGTGAGACCCCCATCTCTAAAAATAGCCAGGCATTGTGGCGGGCACCTGTAGTCCCAGCTACTTGGGAGGCTGAGACAAGAAAATACAGAAGTCCTCAATTTACAGTGGTGACTTTCAAATTTTTGACTTTACAACAATGCGAAAATGATGTGTTTAGTAGAAACCATACTTAAGAATAGCATTCCATAAATTACATGAGATATTCAACACTATTGCAAAATAGGCTTTGCATTAGATGATTTTGCCCAATTGTAGGCTAATGTAAGTATCCTAAGCACATTTAAGTTAGGCTGGGTTAAGCTGTGATATTTGGTAGATTAGGTGTATTAAGTACATTTCTTTTTGCCGTACATCATTAATGATGATTTTATTGGGATGTAATCTAATTGTAAGTTGAGGACAATCTGTTTGAAGAAACTCCCCAAATTTGATGAAAACCATTAATTTATACATCTAAGAGCTCAATGGGCTTCAAGTAAGGCAAAGTGACATAAAAGGTAAGACTTTTGCACTAAGATACATTATAATAAAACTGTCAAAAGCTGGCTCAGCACCTGTAGCACAGTGGGTACGGTGCCAGCCACATACACTGAGGGTGGCAGGTTTGAACCCATACTGGGCCAGCTAAACAACAGTGACATCTGCAACAAGAAATAGCCAGGCGTTGTGGCGATCACCTGTAGTCCCAGCTATCTGGGAGGCTGAGGCAAGAAAATCTCTTAAGCCCAAGAGTTTGAGGTTGCTGTGAGCTCTGATGCCGCAGCACTCTACGAAGGGTAACATAGTGAGACTGTCTCAAAAAAAAAAAACTGTCAAAAGTCTTAAGACAGAGGGGGTTTTTTTGTTTGTTTGTTTTGTTTTTTTGAGACAGAGCCTCAAGCTGTCCCCCTGGGTAGAGTGCCATGGCATCACAACTCACAGTAACCTCCAACCCCTGGGCTCAAGTGAGTCTCCTGCCTCAGCCTCCCAAGTAGCTGGGACCACAGGCGCCCGCGACAACGCCCGGCTATTTTTTGGTTGCAGCCATCATTGTTGTTTGGTGGGCCCGGGCTGGATTTGAACCTGCCACCTTAGGTGTATGTGGCTGGTGCCCTAGCCACTTGAGCCACAGGCACTGAGACAAGACAGAGGCTTTTTTTTTTTTTTTTGAAACAGAGCCTCAAGCTGTCCCCCTGGGTAGAGTGCCATGGCATCACAGCTCACAGCAACCTCCAACTCCTGGGCTCAAGCGAGTCTTCTGCTTCAGCCTCCCAAGTAGCTGGGACCACAATGCCTGGCTATTTTTTTGGTTGTAGCCATCGTTGTTTGGCGGGTCCAGGCTGGATTCAAACCCACCACCTTAGGTGTATGTGACTGGCACCTTCGCCACTTGAGCCACAGATGCCAAGCCAAGACAGAGGTTTTTAAAAGAGCAGAAGAGACGCAATTGTTGTATAAAGGGAACCTAATGAGATTAACAAATAATTTCTCATAAAAAACCGTAGAGCTCAGAAAGTCTTTGGGATGACATATTCACAGTGCTCAAAGAATAAGACTAATACCAAGAATTCCACATCTAGCAAAACTCCTCTTCCAAAGTGAAGAAAGATATTCCTAGATAATAAAGGCTCAAAGAGTTGTTAGATTTGCTTTATGAGAAATACTAAGGAGAGTCTACAAGAAATACTAAAAGGAAATGAAAGGAAAAGTAGGCAGTAACTTGAATCCACATGAAATAGTACCACTAAAGGTAATAAGGCATATGCAAAAGGTAGTATAAATGATTTAATATTTTAATATTATCACTCTTTTTTCTCCTATCAGATTTAAAAGGCAACTACATACAGCAATTAAGTATAAATTTCTGTTGATATTGTGACAGACACTGTGGGTCTGTTTTTCAGGCAGCTATGTCTGAGACGCTGGTCATCCTGCAAAGCCTCCCAAATGGTCCCGGGCACACAAACATGGAAACAGTACTATTTTTGCCGATCTGAGCTGGAGTTCCGAATGGCATCTGGGCGGCCAGAAGACTTCATCTGTAAAGCCATTGCTGGGCACAAAGGTGTGAGGTGGGGAATGTGGTTGCTCACACTCTTCCTGATTAAGTCTCGCGGAATTTGGTGATTCAGCCAGTGACTTGGAAATTGGCACTTGATGAGTATACAATTTATGTCATTTTTGTTCTATAATTTGATCCTTGCAATAATCCTGTGAGGGAGGATCATTATATCTATTTCAGAGTAGAAAGAGGTGGAAACTGAGAGAGTAGGTAGTAGTTCAAGGCTACATGGCTGGTGGTAGATAGACAGTCCTAGGAGCAAAACTTGGTTGTAAGTCTAAATCCTTGTTGCTTGTCCCATCCACATTGTCCACTGTGCTGTTGAGACAGAAAGAGGAATAGTTTTCCAACTTACCCTTTTACTAACTTAAGTATTTAAATTTTGGCCCACTTGTGTCTGTGTTTTCTTACAGGATGGATAAATGAGCTGGCTTATGTCTCTACCAACGAATGCCGGTTTGATGGAAGGAAGAAGTCTGTAGTTTGCACTGTGTCCTCAGACGGTACAGTGCGTGCCTGGGATTTAAATGAGGTAAGGTGAGCGGGTCCCAGAATGTGAAGGCAGGGATGAAGTTGAATCCTTACTGTGTCTGTGGTCTTAGCTAATCCCTTCATCATTATGTTTTCATTTACTCATTGTGGAAAACTACTAAGGTGAGGACTGGGAGCCCCATTTTGCAGATGAAAAATCTGAGCTTGAAAGCCTGGAGTGCTCATTCAGCGTACCATGTCGTTGTACCGGTAACAGGCATGGGCCAGACCCATGTTAGAACCTCCAGTCAGACTGATCTCAATGATACATTCTTGGCTTCCTACCTTCCTCCCCAAGTGCTGCCTTGGGGAAACAGACTTACCCAGCTGTGCCTGGTGGGGGCTGTGTTGGCATACACCTAAGATGGCAGCTGCCATGCCATTCCTTGTTCCTTCCTAGCAAGCATCATTGGACTTTGTCAGAAACCACTCAGTCGTGTGGTCTTCATTAGCACTGATGCCAGCCCCCTGGGTGGTTTTGCTTAGATAATTGTAGGCTTTAGTCATGTGCAAACTGTTCAAATCTGAATAGCTTGATTAATATTTTAAACTTTGTTGGTGTTTTTTTGGTGCTTATTGTTTAAAAGTTTTAATATCCATTTTTTAATCAAGCAGGCAAAAAGGTACTCATTATTGTCATCCTAATGTTAGAAGTAGAAACTGAGAGAGGGAAAGTGACTCTGAGTCTTGAACCATATGATCTCCCTGCAAATTCAGGGGTTTTCCCTGGCACCACTCTGAGATGGAACCCAACCTCCTATGAAGGATATTTTCCTGGAAAACTGTAGATCACTTCGTGTTTTAGATGCTACACAAGCACAGGCACCCTCAGTGCCTTACTTTATTCTGTAAGTAATCTCTTGGTAGCTGAGATTGACTCATGGCTCATCTCTCACTGTTCCCCAGTTTTGCTACAAGTATATGCTGCTTCTGACAAGTGCAGCTTAATTTCAAGTTCACTTAGTAGGCAAGAGAGTGACAGCAAGTAGAGAGGAAGGACCACTAACCAGGGTGCCAGGAGAAGTGACTGAACTTAGGTCCTAGTTCCACTCTAATCCACTGTGGGATCATCTCTCCTGAGAGAGAGATCTGCCTGCAGGTTATGACCATGTGGCCTTGAGTAGTCTTAGATTTAGGGGCACTGGGTGGGTAGGAAGCTTGAGGGCTGGGGCTCTTCATAGTCATCAAAAAAAAGGTCTCGAATAGAGAATGTGCTATGATGCGAAGGGCTAGCCCAGTGATTTTCAACCTTTTTTACCTCACGGCACACTTGAACCTATAGTTAAATTTTCCCAGTACACTTAAATTATGTTGATCAACAAAAAAGTATACTTACTGTGCTTTGAACATTTTTAAAAAATAATTTAATTAATGATCTAATTTATTAAATTAATAATTTAATGATCTTAGGCATGGAACACCTGAGGTCCTCTCATGACACACTATTATGCCGCAGCACACCATTTAAAATCACTAGGCTAGACAATCAATATTTTAGGCTTCGCTGGGTGCAGTGGCTCATGTCTGTAATCTTAGCATTCTGGGAGGCTGAGACCAGCAGATTGCTTCAGCTCTGGAGTTCAAGGCCAACTTGAACAAGAGTGAGACCCTGTCTCTACTAAAAATAGAAAAACTAGCCAGGCATTGTGTCAGGCATCTGTAGTCCCAGCTACTTGGGAGGCTGAGGCAGGAGAATCATGTGAGCCCAGGAGTTTGAGGTTGCTGTGAGCTATGACACTACGGCCCTCAAGCCCAGGGGACAAAAAAAAAGAAAATTTATGCTTTGTAGACCAGACAGTCTCTGCAACAACTCAGCTCTGCCTCTGCTATTGTGTGGAATAAGTGGCACACAAATGCAACCATAGACAGAACATACTAACACGAGAGTTGCTATATTCCAAGAAAACTATTTATGGACACTGAAATGTGAACTGAATTTCATGTCATTTTCAACTGCAATGAAATATTTTTCTTTTGATTTTTTTTAACTAAAATACAAAATACAAACAATACAAAAAATAGTTGGTAGCCTGGGTATGGCTGCAGGCCATAGTTTGCCAAACTCTAACATTCTTCATTGTTCCCAGTGTGGGATAGTTTCAGAGTGCCAGGGGCCCTTCACTCCATTCTGCCTGGCTTTCCACCCTATTAAGAGTGGGAAGAGTGGGTACTAATCCTTTGTGAGGAAATCTTCAAACTTCTATTCTTTTTCTTTCTTCTTCTTCTTTTTTTTTTTTTGATGCTGAGGTTTTTGTTTTTTTTTTTTTTGCAGTTTTTGGCCGGGGCTAGGTTTGAACCCGCCACCTCCGGCATATGGGGCCGGCGCCTTACTCTTTTGAGCCACAGGTGCCTCCCCTCTTTTTTTTTTTTTTTTTTGAGACAGAGTTTCACTCTGTCTCCCTGGGTGGAAGGAATGCCATGGCATCATCATAGCTCACAGCAGCCTCAACTTCCAGGCTCAAGCAATCCTCTGGCCTCAGTCTCCCAAGTGGCTAAGACTACAGGCACCTGCCATGACAACTGGCAAGTTTTTCTATTTTTAGTAGAAATAGGGTCTTGCTCTTGCTCAGAGTGGCCTCAAACTTCTGAGTTCAAGCAGACCACCTGCTTTGGTCCCCCAGAGTGCTAAGATTACAAGTGTAAGCCACTGTGCCTGGCCATTTTATTTTATTTTTTTTAATTTGGCCCTTTAGTTGCTGTGATGATTTAAATGTTTTTGTCCCCTTCAAAATTCATGTTGAAACTTAATCCCCAGTGCAACAATATTGGGAAGGTGGTTGAGTAGTGAGGTCAGAGCCCTCATGAATGGGATTAGATGCCCTTATAAAAGGGCTTAACAGAGGGGGTTCACCTTTCTTGCCCTCTGCCTTCTATTATATTAGGACACAGTGTTCCTCCCCTCTGGAGGACACAGCTAGAGAGCTTTCACCAGACAGCTGAACCTGCTGGTCCCTTGAGTTTGGACTTCACAGTTCCAGAAATGTGAGAAAACAGATTTCTTTTCTTTATGAATTACCCAGTCTCAGGTATTTTGTAATGGCATCAAACAGACTAAGGCAGTTGGGATCATAACAGTATGTAGCCTTTTCAGATTTACTTCTTTCACTTAGTGGTTTGCATCGAAGGTTCCTCTGTGTCTTTTTGTGACATGAATGCTCATTTCTTTCTTCTTTTTTATTTAAGACAGATTCTCACTTTTTCACCCTCAGTAGAGTGCTATGGCCTCATAGCTCACAGCAACCTCAAACTCTTGGCCTCAACCACCCAAGTAGCTGGGACTACAAGTGCCTGCCACAACCCCCAGCTAGGTTTTAGATGGGGTCTCACTCTTACTCAGGCTGGTCTTGAACTGAGCTCAAGCAGTCTGTTGATCTCAGCCTCCCAGAGTGCTAGGATTACAGGCGTGAGCCACTGCGCCTAGCTGCTCATTTCCTTTTAGTGCTGAATAATAATCCCTTGTATGGCAGTGCCACAGTTTGTTGGTCATATTAAACATGGGCATCTTGCTTCCAAGTTTGGCAGTTTTAAATAAAGTTGCTTTGAACATTTGTGTGCAGGATTTTATGTAGACATAAGTTTTCAACTCTTTTGGATAAACACCAAAAGTACAGTTGCTAGACTGTGTGTTAAGAGTATAATAGCAGGCTCGGCGCCTGTGGCTCAAGTGGCTAAGGCGCCAGCCACATACACCTAAGGTGGCGGGTTCGAATCCCCAGCCCGGGCCCGCCAAAACAACAATAATAATGGCTGCAACCAAAAAATAGCCGGGCCTTGTGGTGAGCGCCTGTGGTCCCAGCTACTTGGGAGGCTGAGGCAGGAGACTCGCTTGAGCCCAAGAGTTGGAGATTGCTGTAAGCAGTGAAGCCATGGCACTCTACCCAGGGGGACAGCTTGAGGCTCTGTCTAAAAAAAAAAAAAAAAAAAAAAAAAAAAGAGTATAATAGCAGTAATAATATCAGTGGTTGCAAGGAGGTTGGTTGTGATTTGGGGGGTTATGTCCTTTCCTTGTCAATGTATAGCAATTCTTTATATGGAAAGGATAATGATGAAAATCATAATAATAGCTAATGAACTCTTTGACAACACAGAGGTACCCTGTGCCTGGGAGGGTGTTATCTCTACTTCTTAGCTAAGGAAATTGAAGTTCAAGGGATGAAGCTGCTTGTCAACAGTCAGCTGGCCTATGAACCTTTGTTCTCTACCATTACATTCTGCAGTCACCAGGGATTACTTGGAATTTCCTGCTCAAGTGGCAAAGAATCCTTATCATTATTTTTTCTTGGATTTTTCTTTACAGAGTTTCCTTTTTCTTCTTTTATGGCTTTTGGGTATCCTATTTTGCTTTAGAAGGCCTTTCTTATCCTGACATGACGTTCCTATTTTCTTGCAATTTTTTTCTAGTTTTTTTATTTTTACATTTTTGATATTTTTTGTGTGTATGATTGGAAATGTAGGGGTTGGACTATAGTTTCTTCCAACTAGGCAGCCAACTCTTCCAACATTGTTCACTGAGTAAATTTCTCACTGACTTATAATGCCCCTATTTTATATATCGTATTCTCACTTTATGTTGGGTCTGTGGGCCTTCTGTTTCATCTGTCTGAATGTGTGTTGTGCTAGTATCATACCATTTTGAATACTGTAGCTTTTTTTTTTTTTTGAGACAGAGCCTCACTCAAGCTATCCCCCTGGGTAGAGTGCCGTGGCATCATGCTCACAGCAACCTCCAACTCCTGGGCTCAAGCGAGTCTCCTGCCTCGGCCTCCCAAGTAGCTGGGACTACAGGCACCTGCCACAACGCCTGGCCATTTTTTTGGTTGCAGCCATCATTGTTGTTTGGCGGGCCCGGGCTGGATTCGAACCTGCCACCTTAGGTGTATGTGGCTGGCGCCTTAGCCGCTTGAGCCACAGGCGCCGAGCCTGAATACTGTAGCTTTATAAAACTTTGGATATCTTTTGGGGGGTGGGGGTTATGCATGGAGCTAGGGAGCACAGAAAATAGGCCAGCATGTTTCAGCGTTCTGTTTTACTGCTTTTTGCCCATTTCAGTAACACTTACTCTTGTAAATGTTCTATATTTCTCCAGCAATCATTGACCATCAGCCTAGTCCCTGCTGAGGAGGTCTGTACAGTACTAGTGATAGTCATGTTAGCTGTTTAAGCAATGAAAATCAACTGAGGGGGAAAAAAGAAACTAACAGAAGAATACTAAGATACCATGACTGGGAAAGAGGTAGAGATAATGATAAAACTGACAAAACATGAAAAAAAGAGGTCATAATAACCCCTAAATGGAAGGAAAGCTGACCAGCATGCCTAGGCACTCCAGAGCAGTTGTCTTAGACTCCCCTCTTGTGCCCTGTTTTAGTGCAGAATAGTCCCAGCAGCGCCCAGCTCTTTACCTCTTTATTCTAAATTTCAACATCTCAGGAGAGGCCACAGAATGGACCTAGCTTGGGGCAGTTGTTTTTCTCTGGATCAGTGGACTGTGTATGGGAGAGGCCTTGACCAGGGCTGGGCCCAGAGAACAGAGAGGTGTTCCACACAGGGCAGCTGTGGTCTATGCAGCATAACCTGTTTTTATCACATCTGCAAGCCTGAATTTATTTATCAGTGAGACCAGGCTACTGTGAGAACCAAGTAAGATGATGCCCATGATGCATAGACTAAGCGGTGTACAGCAGTGCATGCAACCCAGGTTCCCGAGCGGGGCACAGTGGTGTTGCCTTTAACCATCCCCCCACCCCCCTGCCATCCACCCTGCTCCTCCATTCTCCTTTAGTTGGGTTCTAGATAAGTGCTGAGAGTTCTTCAGACATGCTGTTGTGTGTGCCATACTCCCACCCTTCATCCCTCTGGTGAGTGCTGTCCAGCCTTCAGGGTGTCTTCCCAGACTGCCTAGCTAAGTCACTCTCCTCATATCAAGGACATTCCTGTCTTACCTTTATTGTTTTACCTACTATGCTGTAGGGTGGGGTCATATCTTTCACTCTCGTGCTGCAGTGTGTACTATGTGTGTACTATGGTGTACTAGATGTGTACTATGGAGCCTGGTACACGGTAGGCACATACAAATGAGTGTTGAGTGAATGCATGAAAATATGTGTTTACAAAATCATGGATCCCTGTGTCTGATTGTTATATTACTTTGGTTGCTGCCCAGGGTACACAGATCTGGTCAAGCCCTCTACAGCCTGATATTATGGAGAATTTGGTGACCTACCCTCAACTGCAGCTGGTTGTCACCATAGACAGCAGAGGATTAATCAAAGCATGGAAAGCAGACAATGGGTGGGAGTGGGCCTCATTCCGCCTGCCGAAATCCCCATCTGCACTGGAGGCCTGTGACCATCCTGAGGGCCCCTTCCTGCTGGTGAGTTGAGTGACCCACTTTGCAGGAGCCTCCCCAGGACCTGGCTGTTTCTCCAGGTCCATGGACACTGGTACCTTGACCACCGTGGTAGATGGAGCCTCAGGCCAGTCCCTTCACACGGCAGACCATGTCACTCTCCTCTGCAGATCCCCCAACCCCTTACCTGCCATGTGAAGTGTAGGCTCTTTGTCTCACACTTTGGTTCTATTCTGTGGCAGCAGCCTGTCTTCGTAGCCCCATCTTCACAGGATTTCCTTTGCTGTCACAGTGAGATCTGTGGACTACCTTGGGTTCCTGGTTCGTGTGCTCCCACTCTCTTGATTCCTGACCTCTGCTTATGGTCTTTACTCTGCCTATAGTTTTTTCTTACTGCATCATTCTTATCCTTCATGCCTGTTTCTCAAGTCCTTACCAAGGTCTAACGCAAGAGAAACTGGGGCATGTTTGACAGAATGTGAGCATTTGCCCAAGACAGCAAAGGCCTTCAGTAGCCCAGACAAGAGTTTAGAGATGGTTTATAGGCAGTGGAGAGAATCCAGTAGGGAAAAACACAGTGAAGGCATTGGCTAAGGTGACAAAGCGAGGAAGTGGCTCTCACCTGGAGCTGATAGCATCTTCCTGTGGAGGAAGGGGGGTATCCAAAGTGTAGGCAAAATAGTATTTCTGAATAAAAAGATGATCAGACATCCAAGAATATTCAACATTCAAATTTTTTGAATTTAATTTATTATTGATACCTTATAACTATATATCTTGGGGACACATGTGATCATTTAATCCATTCATAGAATTTATAAAGAGGAAATCAGTGTAATTTGAGGTATCCATCACCTTAAATATTTATCTTGTCTTTATGCTAGAAACATTTCAATTATTCTTTTCTAGCTATTTTAAAATATGCAACAGATTATTATAAACTATAGTCACCTTGTTGATCCATCAAATACTATGTCTTCTTCTATCAAACTATATATTTGTATTAATTAATCAAACTTTCATCATTAACTCCCCCTGGTTCCTGGCCTCTGGTAACCCACCAATCTACTCTCTATCTTCACATGATCTATGTTTTTAGCTCCCACATATGAGTGAGAACATGTGACATTTGTCTTTTCTGTGCTTAACTTATTTCACTCAATAGAATTACCTCTGTTTTCATCCATGTTACTATTGATACAAATGACAAGGCTTCATTTTTTATGGGTGAGTAATATTCCATTGTTTATCTATACCATATTTTATTTTATTTTTTTTTTTTTGAGACAGAGACTCAAGCTGTTGCCCTGCGTAGAGTACTATGGCATCACAGCTCACAGCAACCTCAAACTCTTAGGCTTAAGTGATTCTCTTGCCTCAACCTCCCAAGTAGCTGGGACTATAAGGCATCTGCCACAATGGCTGGCTATTTTTTGGTTGTAGTTGTCACTGTTGTTTGGCAGGCCCCTGGTGGCTGGCGCCCTAGCTGCTGAGCTATAGGCCCACATTTTCTTTATGCATTTGTCCATTGATGGGCAGTGAGGCTGTTTTGTTTTCCTTTTTTTCTTTTCATTTTTTGTTGAGATAGGATTTTACTTTGTTGCCCAGGGTGGTCTCCAACTCCTGGCCTCAAGTGATCTTCCCACCTTGGCCTCCGAAAGAGACCTAACTGACATTTGCTGAATACTTCACTCAACTGTTACAGAATACATATTCTCTCAAAGTGCTGGAATTAAAATCATGAGCCACTGTGCCTGGTTAGGCTGATTTTACATTTTGAGTGTTGCAAAAACTGCTACAGTGGTTCGGTGCCTGTAGCTCAGTGGTTAAGGGTGCCAGCCACATATGCCTAGGGTGAGGGGTTCAAACCTGGCCCAGACCTGCTAAACAACAATGACAACTGCAACAAAAAAATACCTGGGCATTGTGGTGGGTACCTATAGTCCCACCTACTTGGGAGACTGAGGCAAGAGAATCGCTTAAACCCAAGAGTTAGAGGTTGCTGTGAGCTGTGACGCCATAGCACTCTACTGAGGGTGACATAGTGAGACTCTGTCTCAAAAAAAAAAAAAAAAAGTGCTGCAGTAATCCTGGGAGTGCAGGTTGTCTTTGATATATTGATTTCATTTCTTTTGGATATATACCTGCTAATGGAATTCTTGGGTCATATGGTAGTTCTATTTTTAGTTTTTTGAGGAACTTCCATGCTGTTTTCTATGGTAGCTATAGTAATTGAGATTTCTACCAATAGGGTATGAGGGTACCCTTTTCTCAACATCCTTGCCAGCATCTGTTATTCCCTGTCTTTTTGATAAAAGCCATTTTAACTGGAGTGAAATGATATGGTTTTTGATTTGCATTTCTTTGCTAATTACTGCTGTTGAGCTTTTTTTCATATACCTGTTGGCCATATGTATGTCTTCTTCTGGAAATGTCGATTCATATCTTTTGCTCATTTTTAATCAGATTATTCTATTTTTACTATTGAGTTGTTTATAAATTCTGGTTATAAATTGTTAGATGGATAGTTTGCATATATTTTCTTCTATTTTGTGGATTATGTTTTTACTTTGTTGTTTATTTCCTTTGCTGTACAGAAACTTTTTAGCTTGATGTAATACCATTTGTCTATTTTTGCTTTGGTTGCCTGTGCTTTTGAAATCCATGTGCTAATAAAAAGAATATGTATTCTGTAACAGTTGAGTGAATTATTCAGTAAATGCCAGTTAGGCTTTTTGGTCCAGTGTGTAGATTAACTCCAGTGTTTGTTGATGTTTTTGTCTGGATGGTCTGTTACTGAGAGGAAGGTGTTCAAGCTTCCTACTATTATTGTATTCCAGTCTATCTTTCCTTTTAAATGTTTGCTTTATATACTTGGGTGTTCCACTGTTGGGTGCATAGATATTTATAATAATTCTATTCTCTTGCTGAATTGACCTCTTTATGAAGTGACTTTCTTTGTCTCTTTTTACTATCTATTTCTGTCTCTGGATAGCTACTCCTGTTCTTTTTTGGTTTCCAGTTGCATGAAATATCTTTTCCCTCTCCACTTTAAGTCTGTGTCTTTATAGGTCAAGTGATTTTCTTGTAGGGAGCATATAGTTGGGTCTTGTTTCTTTATTCATTTGGCCACTTCATATCTTCTATTTATTTATTTAATTTTATTTTTTGATACAGAGTCTCGCTCTTTCACCTGGGTAGAATGCCCATAGCTCAGAATCCTATGCATTCAATTCCAATAAGAACACAGTTAAGGTCCTAATACACAGTGGGGGGTGGGGGATGGTGAGACCTGAGAAAGGGAAGGATAGAGGGGGTGGGGGGAACAAGGGGTGTGGTACACCTTTTAGGGGCAGGACACAGTTAGAAGAGGGTGCTTATCTAACAAGCAATCAATGTAACCTGGTTCTTTGTACATTCATTGAATCCCCAAGAATTTAAAAAATGAAAAAGAAAGCCCATAGCTCATAGAATGCATCATAGCAACCCCAAACTCTTGGGCTCAAGTGATCTTCTTGCCTCAGCCTCCCAAGTGGCTGGGACTACCAGGTGCCTGCCACAACATCCAGCTAGTTTTTAGAGATGGGTTTCAATATCTTTTAATTGGAGAATTGACTCCATTTATATTCAGTCTTGTTATTGATAAGTAAGAACTTACTGTATTTCATTGCATACTTTCTGGTTATTTTCTAACTCTACCTTTCTTCTTGTTTTCTTTTTTTTTTTTTTTTGAGACAGAGCCTCAAGTTATCCCCCTGGGTAGAGTGCCATAGCATCACAGCTCACAGCAACCTCCAACT